CTATGGAGGGCAGACTCTGAGGCAGGAACATCATGGTGGAAGGGTGTGACAGAGGGAAGTTGCTCAGCTCATGGAAACCACAAAGTGAAGAGAGAGAGAAATAGGATGAGCTGGGCACCAGCTATACCCCTCCAGGGCACACTCCCAGTGACTGCTGCCTCCAACTTGGCCCCACCTCCTGCAGTTACTACCACCTCCCAGTAATGCCATCAACTTATGAAGCTATCAATGGATTAATCCGCGGATGAGGTCAGTGCTCTCATGATCAAATCGCTTCCCAAAAGCCCCACATCTGAACACTGCTGCACTGGAGACCAAACCTTCAACACATGAGACTTTGGGGGATATTCCAGATCCGACCCCAAACACAAAGCATCAGTTTTTCAGTACAGTTTGGTAGGTTTTGAATATATTGACAGGGAGCCAACAACATTTGATATTTACAAAGCTCAAAACTTTTAAGGGAAAAGCCCAATTTGGGAGTGTTGCTGATTCTTTCCTTCAATCATTTTGATCTCTTACAGAGCTCAGGGAAATGGAGGGCTCCAGTGTCTTCCCGAAGCTTCCTCCAATGATTGCTTGTCATGAGGATTTCATGGTGCTCCCCAGACAATGCCCAGAATCTTCTCCTTGCAGAATCCCAGTGGGTTACTCTGAGGGAGCAGAACATCAACTCCCAGTTGGACCAGAAAAGAATTTTCAAGACATAATTCAGGGACAAGCCCCCACATACGGAATTTCTTTCATCCCTTGCAGTGAAGTCTGACTGAGGGGCCTCTGTGGTTTGTGGCTGTCTGACTCCCCCAGGCTCTGCGGCCCTCCTGCCCGCCTGCCCCTCTTGCCTGACTAGGGGAAGCAGGTCCCGAGCATCCAGCAGGCTTCCCGGGCAGCCTTCCTCCCCCGTACTCTTGGCATTCATATGGCATGGCTATAAATTATGCCCAGCGTGTTCATTTTCAGTTTAAATGTGTTCTCATCCCAGAGGAGCGACTAATGGCGTCAAGTTACTGATGTGAAAAAAGCATGCCGCTACAATGACTATGGATTAATGAAATAGCAGTCGCGGAGGCTGGGGTTGCAATAAATCGTCAGCCACTGGTGACATGGATTTTAAATTATGTTCCCTGTCCCTTCTCCCTTCTCCCAAATTATTTTGCTGTAAAGTTGTTGGGTAAATGTTTACCTTTACTTAATGTTGGCTTTGTAATAAAAGTTGAGGCAAACAGAGCCCTTTCCTCTTAGAAAACTGCAAACCAGCTGAGAGGGATTTAAAAGTCTATCATACTTTCTCTAGGAGGCATGAAGGCAAATCTCTTAATCCAGGATCATCAGTGACTGATAAATTTCATTCAGAGAACTGGCAAACACAGCATTCTATCGGTAAACTCTGCCCATTTGGCATGGAAGCTACTGCACCTTTACCTTCTCTTAGGGCCTGCTATTCCCCTAATGAATTAAAAAATGAGTCTCCAGCACAATTCCCACCAGTGTTTTTGGAAATGTGGCAAGTCTATTTTTCATTCGATAAAGGACCCCAGGGAGTCCACTGATGAGACATATAGGGATTATGAGAATCCCTGATCCTAAAAGCAAATTGTTCCTATGTTTTTCTAGAAAGATGACCTATAGATTTCATCAAATTCACTAAATGTGCCGTAACACCTAAAGAGTTTAAGGATCACCGTGGTAAATTGCACAATTTCTTTCCCTGCATGTATCCATGTCCTTGCAGTGGGACTTTGTAGCTTCTCCTATTGAGAACAGGAGTGTTTTTCCATCCTTTGATTTGGGGCTGGCATTCAGATTGGTTTGGGCTCACGGGATTTTGGCAAATGTGACAGAAACAGGTTAGAAATGCATTTATACATTAGGGTTTGCCTATTTATTGTTCCTGGAACTCTCCTGCCATGTGAACAAGGCTGGGTTCCCCTGATGAGCTACCTGCCTAGTCACCCCAGAGCTCCCAGCTCACTCACGGGCAGCTGCAGACAATGTGAACTTATCCATGACCAGTGGCATCTGGACCAAACCTGAACTGTCAAGCTCAACTAAATTATGAGATAAATAAACACTGCTTTGAGCCACTAAGTTCTGGGGTAGTTTGTTGTGCAGTAAATGATAATGGGTAAGAATTCTATACCAGACAGTGTGTTTTCAGGATGGGGGCATGTCTGCTTTGGTCCACGCGTTCCCTTTTCCTAAAAACACAAGAGCCATTCAGTACATATTTGTTGAATTGGGTGGAACTGGTCTCCCCAAGACGGAGAGTAAGCCCCTTTCTCAAGGTCACTAGGTTAATCAGGAGGGACTTCAGAACACCTGACTGTGAGCCTCAGTTTCCTCGCTTATAAAACAGGCTTCTGTTGTGCTGTTTTGGTTATTAAATACACTGTATGCCCTGGAGATGTGCTTCTGAAGCAAAAGCAAGCTTATGAAGAGGCCTTGGAGCTTATTAGCACACAGAATATCTTGCACATTTCACTGTCTCTGTAGCTGCCCAGTGTAGGACGGGAAGACTTCAGTGTCCATTTCTCAGCTTTATCTGCTACAAAGTAAGGTCTGTTCCTTCAAGCCCCAGCAGACATCATTCTGAGTGTGTTTTCTTGCTGCTGCACGGCAGCCACAGGGCCAGAGGACTTGCCACTCCCTCCTGTGAGTTAGGGAGGGCACCCAAATAGGACCCAGGAGTGTGGATGGCTGCTCTGGATCCTGCCATCACTGCTGCATCTTGCTTCCTCACTTGTGGAATAAGGCATGGCTGACAGCATCCCTCTCGGAATCCTTTCAGCTATAGGCATCCAAGGGCTCCAGCACTACCAGTCTCATCTAGGCATGAGGGACGATTGCTCCCAGGATCAGTAAGCCGTAAAAAAACTGTTTTAACAAGCAAAAGAAAAGCTTTGTTGTTGTTGTTGTTGTTGAAAAAGCAGGCCAAAGCGTTGGGAAATAGAAAAGAGGGAAAAAGAGAACAAGTCTCGTTTGAGTGGGGATTCTAGAACCTTCCTTCCTACAGGATAGTGGAGCTTTGTCCTTACATCAAACCATGGATTTGGGGAATTAACAGAAAAGAAAATTTTAAGGAGAAAAAAAAAAAGATGACACACCCAAAGAATTATAAAAAGCTCATGAGAAAGATTCACACAAAGCACCGTGAGACATTCAGATAAACTTTTTTTTTGTATTTTTGGCAGTAAGACTTCCTATCCTTCTTAGTAACATCTAAAATGACTTCTTTCTAGGATTGAAGATAAACATTCTTGTGTTCAAGTTGTAGTTGGAAACAGTGTACACAAACATCACTTATCACAAAGAGTAAAGACAACAGTCTCTGAATCCTGCTTCTAGACAAAGCAGTCTAGAACACAAAGAGCAAAGCCAGAGGCACCACAGAACCTGATTTCAAGACATATTACAGAGGCACAGTGACCAAGCATCATGGAGCTAGCATGAAAACAGATACACAGATGAGTGGAACACGGCAGAGATTCCAGACATGAACCCAAACATCTCTAACCAACTGATTCTCAATGAAGGCGCCAAAAACCCACATTGAAAAAGAACAGCCTTTTCATCAAATGGTGCTGGGGAAACTGGAGATCTAGATGGAAATTGAAACTAGATCCTTCTGTCTCATCCTTCATGGAAATCAACTCCAACTTAATGTAGGACCTGAAAGGACATTGGGATTGGCAATGATTTTTACAGACAGTGGTATAGGGAGTGAGTTTTTGAATAGAACCCCAAAAGTTTACAGGAAAAAAACACAAATAGATAAATGGAATTACATCAACATAAAAATTGTACAGTAAAAGATACAATCAGATAGATTAGAAAACCTACAGAATGGGAGAAAATATTTGCCACTGTCCATCTGACAAAGGATTAATATCCAGAATAGAGAAGAAACTTAAAAAAAACTATTAAAAATGAATAATACAATTTTAAAATGGGTAAATAATATGAATAGGACCATCTTTTATGGCCAAGAAAGGTGGGGAAAAATGTTCAAAATCATTAGTCATCAGGGAAATGCAAATCAAAACTACAATAAGATTCCATCTCACCCTTGTTAAAATGGCTATTATAAAAACAAAAACAAAAGGGGCTGGCAAAGATGTTAAGAAAAAGGAATCTTTATACACTGTAGGTGGGAATGTGAGTCAGTAAAACCACTGTGGAAAACATATTCCTTATAAAACTAATAATATATCTATGATATGACCCAGTTATCCTACTTCTGGGTATATATCAAAAGGAAAATGAAATCAGCGAACAAAACATACCTGCATGCTCATGTTCATTGTGGTGCTATTCACAATAGCTAAGATATGGAATCAGCCTAGGGGTCCATCAACAGAAAAAAAATAAAGAAAATGGAGTATACATATACAGTGGAGTATTAGCCAGTCATCAAGAAGAATGAAATCTTATCATTTGCAGGAAAATGAATAGAAGTGGAGGGCATTATGTTAAGTGGAATAAGTTAAAAGACAAATATCACATTTTCTTTCATATGTGGAAGTTAATTAAAAAAAGTTCAACTAGAATGTAGAATAGTGATTTCTAGAGGCTAGAAACTAGGTAGGGGTGAGGAGTTATATTTGATCACTGCATACTGTATGCACGTATTGAAATATCATACTGCACCCCATTAATATAGATAATACATGTTAATAAAAAAATAACATAAAATAAGGGCTCAGGGTATAATGTTTGCCTAGCACATGCAAGGCTCTGGATGCAGTCCCCAGCACTGCAAAACCAATAAATAACCTAACATAAAGCAATAGTAAAATCCTGCCTCTTGCCAAAATGGAAATTAAGTTTGTGCTTGGAAGCAAGTATGAAAATGGTGATATTTATTCAATCATGTTCACATACATTCAAAGAGAAAGTTGGAAATTATTCTGTCATGCCTTTAATCAGATTTTCTATCTTGAACATTGAGATCTTAAACATTAAAATCACCAATGAGTAAACAAAGAAAAAAAGTTACCAGATAGCATTTTAACTAACTTTTTTTGTATTTATTATAACCATGCTTCTCTACAACTAGGGATTCTATGGTTGACAAACCATGTGTCTGCCTTTATTTACCTACATAAACACAAAACAGCATTTTTAACAAGGAAGATTCACACAGCAAACAAAGTACAAATTGGTGTGACCTCAATAAGGCATCTGATAAGGTTACAAGCCATCTCTCTCCAGCTGGGCTTCCTTAGGATGCTCTTATGTTGGCATCACATTCTTCTAAGAGTAGAATCAAATCTTCAATCAGGCTGTGTTCTCTGCCATGTGTCACTCGCATGATATCAAAAGCCTAAAGAGGAAGGAGAGAAGACAGATCAGACCTCCAAAGAGGTGAGCCCCTGCCACTCCCCTTCCCTTCCCAAAGATGCTAAGGGTCCAGTGACCCTGCAGGTCTACACAGTGAGCAGTCTCTAACAGGACTGCAGCACTGTGGTTCCCTGAGTCAGCACATAAGTGACAAGGCTGGTGTCTGAATGTAGAGTTTGGAAAGTAGACTTACTTCTCAAGCCATGCCAGGGCCCAGTGACTAACAATCATCTTCAGGGGCTGTTACAGTGCACAGGTTTAGGTGGCTACTTTTAGAGGTTTAACCATTGACTACTCAAACAAATAAGTCACATGAAAGAAAAAATACCTCCTCACAATATTTTTACTCTTTTGTATTCTGCATTCAATTCTTATCTATGTGGACTGTGATTATTATCTACATATATTCTTCTGTTCTTTTCATATCATATGACACTACAGCATTGGCATTTCAATGAGCCCATCCTTCACTTTCCATGGTTAGTCCATTACTAAATCTTGTCAATTCTACCTCCAAAATATTTCCGCAGTTGTGGAGAGCTTGTGACTGAATACTTCAGTAAGAGAATACAGTAGAAGGAAAGCTACTGGCTTAAAAGGCCATAAAGCCTCTGCCTTGTTCACTAGCGTATCTGTTCCTGGAACCAGGAGCCTCCATGCTGTGAGGAAGCCCAAGTCATATGGAGAAACCATGTGTAGGTGGCTCTTGGTGACAGTCCCAGCTGAGCCCATCCTTCAAGCCACCCTAACCAAGGCATGAGAAGTGTCATAAACAAACTTATTGGTAATTTCAGTGCCCAACCAGAAGTCAGGCTGATGAAACTCCATCAGTGAATCCTTCTAGATGAAGCACCAGACATTGTAGACAAGAAGAATGCCATTCTGTTGTGCTTTGTTCAGATTTCTAACCCACAGAATCTGTAAAAATAATTTTATTGTTTTACTCTACTCAGTTTATTATGGAGCAATAAATAACCAGAATACCTTCAATATTCTTTTTTTGAGATAAATAAGAGATTTTTAAAAAAATATTTTTAATGGTAGATGCACACAATATCTATATTTTTATTTATTTATTTTTACGTGATGCTGAGGATCAAACCCAGTGCCTCACATATTTGAGGCAAGCGCTCTACCACTGAGCTACAACCGCAGCCCCAGTAAATGAGAGTTTAAGCAGTATCGTCTTAGATTGCCCAAATCATAGGCGGGGTGGGCTGGGGGTGGGGGAGTGAGGGATTCCAAGAGTCACTGTATCCTGTGGGAATGTGTTCTGGAGACCTGTACAGATGTGGCTCTGGTGACTGTTAAACATCCAGCAAAGTACCCTGGCACATCGTCCTAAGACTCTCCCCCTTGGCTGTACAGACCAGCACCCAGACCACCCATGTGATCTCCTGAAATTGCTCTCTGGGAGCTGGGCCTCAGCTCCAGGAGACTCTAGCATGCCCTATCAGCTGAGAACAATTAAAAGAGTAACTGTCAACAAATAATAACTACTCTTCATTACTCAATGTTAATTTATAGTCAGCATAATTATAATTTTAATGGTTGTATACAATTAATTCCATCAGGTTTATAAACCATTATTTATTAAACTACTCTCAGAAATTTAGATCACTTTTAATTTTTTATTATAATATGATACATATCTTTTAGCCTGACTTTTGTTTGTTTTGCTTTGCTAAATATTTGCTTAAGATAAATTCCTAGCAGTGTAATTCTTGGGTATGAACATCTTGGAAGTCATTTGAGACCTGGAGGCTGGAAAACACCTTGCTGGTCATATAGTTGAGACCCCTTCATTGAGACAAAGGAGAAAAACTGAAGCTGGAAGAAGCAAAGCATTCAGGTGGACTGGGGCTTTCAGCCTGTGTTCCTGGCTTTTTTTGATGGGGAGGGCAGGTACTGGGGATTGAACCCAGGGGCACTTGACCACAGAACCACATCCCTAGCCCTATTTTGTATTTTATTTAGAGACAGGGTCTCACTGAGCTGCTTAGCACCTTGTCTTTGCTGAAGCTGGCTTTGAACTCGCAATCCTCCTGCCTCAGCCTCCCAAGCTGCTGAGATTATAGGCGAGCACCCCGGCGCCCAGCCCCTGCCTTCTTTTTTGCTTCCTTAAAAATGTTCCCTTTAGGCTGGGAGAAAGGAAAACAAATGTCTAGTGGTAAGAAGGGGGAGACTATATTTAGCTACTGAGAAAACAAAAGAAAAGAAAGAAAGGAAGGAAGGAAGGAAGAAAAAACCAAAGGGGAAGAGGGAAAAATGGTGGGGTCTGCCAGCCTGGAAGAGAGCTGTCTCCTGGAACCCAGCTGAACACTGGGGTCAGACCCACAGGAGGCCAGGGCTGGACTTCCTTGTTACCTCCAGTGGGTCTGCCCTGCAGGTGCCCAGTAAAGGCAAATCAGTCTGGAGGTGGTGGTAGTCTGGAGTGGGAGGGAGGAGTTGGGAGGTGCCCCCACCTTGCAGGCTGAGACTGCTCTGGGCAGATTAAAAACAAATGTCTGCTGCCATTCTGGGAGCACATGCCTCATGTTTTATTCTCTTTTCCCCACACTGCCTTGGTACTCCACTGTTCAGGACATCCTAAAGTCTGAGGCAGAGGCCTGTGTGTCAACGTGAGTGTAGAGAGGTTTCTGCATCAGAGATCCTTCAGGCGAATTTTACTTGAAAGCTTCCTTGTAAGTTCTCTTCCCTTCTATTCGACAGAGCCAGATGTGCTTGTGATCTGCAAAGGAGGATAAATGGACCGGAAGCACGGCCTGAAAGGAGCTTTGCAGAAAGGGACACCCCTGTCACCCTGAAAAGCCAAGCCTGAGGAAGGGCACACCTCCCTGCCGCCAGCACTGGCGCCCTCTGCTGGCAAGTGCCTGGCCTGTGTTCTCTGGAGACACCCCAGCCAGCTGGGGCTTTGCCTCTGGGTTACATTTCTCTAGGTTCTCTGCTCTTCTTTATGATTTGACTTACAGCTGAACAACAAAGCTATCTTCTTGTCACCTGACAGTGTAAGGTTGGTCTGCAGGTTTTTGAACATATTTCTGGTGCCAATCCTCCTTCCTTGGCACGGTTCCTGCAGTTCCAGGAGTAAGTTTCACTCCCCAACCCCCACACTCTTCTGCTTTGAAAATCAGGTCTGCTCTCCAGGGTCAGAGTTCATTGCCATGGATCTGGAGTCTTTCTGAAGCCAGATTTAAAATTAGGTAGTCAGTATAGTTAGGTAAATTGGGTTTAATATCGAGTGAAATCTAAAATGGAGGCCATGTTGAGAATGAATTCTTGGAAAAGTTGAGCAACTCTTGAAATGTTAATGAAGTCCAGGAAACAGCCCCCAGCAGATTTGAAGATAGCCCATCCCAAAGAAATGTTAATGAACAGCAAACTTGAAGATGCTGACTGGGAAGTGCCCAGATTACTTCTTTGGCCCACCTGTGTCCCAACCCTTCTGACCTTCCCACCTACATTCCATCACTGAAAACTATAAAATGGAGAGACAACCGCACTTTCACAGATTCCATCTCTTGGGTCCCCTTCTTCCTCCGGGAGAAGTCTTTTCTGCTGTCCTTTAATAAACTTCTAATTTTCCACTCTGACCTTGCCTCGGCGTGCTTCTCTGGTGTTATTCTTCAACACTGGAGAAGCAAGGACTCGTCACCGGTCAACAGCGGTAACATTTCCACTCACTGAAGGGGCAGACCTGCCTGTCTGACAGCAGGGTAAGTGGCCCAGTGTTAGCAAGAAGCCTGGAGCCCTAAGGCCACTCTGGAATTATAGAGCCCCCAAGTCAGATGGGGAAGCTGCCCTCACCCTTCACCCCTCAGGCTGCTTGGTTTAGGCGGGGTCATGGAGATCATCTCCTCCAGCCCCCTCAAGTTACCAAAGGAACTGCACCTGAGGTTGCCTGGCCTGAGAGGTCTCAGGACCGGCCAGCGTCCATTCCATGACCACACTATGCAGCCTCCATTGTGAACAGTTTACAGTGATCAAGGGAAGGAACCCTGGGACTCCTACATGTGGTTTCTGTGAAGAGCCACAGGGGTATTCTTAGTCAAAATGCTGCTGGGCATGCTCTGTGTTCTCTTATTTGATGGTGGCTGTAACACTGGAAGTGGAGGTAGGGCAGGGGCAGTCCCTGTGCACATTTGTATAAGCGTGAGAGATGCAAGTGGTGAGATTAAGTTTGAGGATCTTGTCTACCAGGTGTCTAGAAACAGAGAGGAAATGGGTGTAGGAAGGGCAGAGAGCTGAAGAGGCTGAAAAAATATCTGTTATCATTTGCCTGGAAAACAAAACTAAATGTAGGTATGATTAATAAATATTGTGTTTTTCTCTGAGTGATGGGCAGAAGAAGAAAGGAAATTCAGTAACGTGCAGCTAGGTCAGTGGCTCTCCTGTGTGCATGTATGAATGATGAGACACGCTGGGCAGACAGGAAGCTGCAGCTCAGACCTGTGACTGAGGAGGACATCTGGTCCTTATCCTGAACAGCACCTACCATTGAGTTGGGGAAAACAGCTCATGTGAGACAATAAGAAAGCCCCATGTGGCCCTGGGCATAGCTCTTCAGCCCATCCAGAAGATAAGGAGTGCTTCCTCTCCCCCTGCCCCCAAACATTACATTTCAATGAATCTCTGACAAACCAGCACAATTGCTCCCAGTAGCTCTAGTCTCCCTTCTCTCAGTGCCTCCCAAATGCCACACATGCACATGTCAGAGAGGCCAATTTTGGTTTAATTTCCTGCAGCAGCATATAAAATAGATTAAGGAAATATAAAATCACAATGTGCATGTGTTGGGATAAACTTATCTCTTTCCATTAAATTTTATTTTTTAATGGTAGCCTTTAAGGGCCTGCACATAATCTTTCACAGAAGACTCATCTGAAGCCTCCAAAGAGGGGAGGTGCTGCACCCATGTATAGATTCTAAATGTCACAGGAGAAATGGCAGCATAGATTGTCTGCCATATGACAGGCACATGGTTCACTAAGGAATAAAGAAAGGGCCCCCAGAACTGATTTCAATCTCATCTTTTTTTTTTTTTTGAAGTAATTTTAGAATTGTGGCCATATATTAAGTAAAATGAATTAAATTGAATTATGATTTAAAGTTGGAAACAATATAGCTTTCATATTAATTTTTAATACAAATATATTAAGCTTATCAAGGATCTCATATACTTTCTACCATCAGCCTGAGGAATCTAATAAATGACTTCCCCAAGCATGATTTAAATATGGATATAAAATCAGAAGGAAAAGAAATGTATGCATGATAAGAACCTCTGGAATCAGATCACAATAGGAAACATGGAAGCAAGTTTTTTTATCCTGTCCATCTCAGGATGAAAGAAGCATCTGGGGTGGGGGAGGTGACAGGGGCATTCAAATAAAGAAATGTATGCCCCGGAGCCACAAAAAGCTCTTTACAATGGCAGCAGAAAATCCTAAAACCTTTGCTCACCCATCTGAGCCAAGCAGCACCCTGCTGACCCCACTCCACTCCTACTGTCAAGAGAAACAGCATGTGACTCCTAGTTGTCACAGGGAAACAGCCTGTGTTAAATGAAGATGCAAAGTACTGGAGTGCCCAGAGGGACCATGGCCACCTAGGGAAACGTCAAGAGGGGTGACAAATATGGCGAGCTCAAGTCTGTGCCTTCCGGTGGCTACAACTATTCCACAAAAGGAGTTACTGTTGTGTCAGTTTGTTTAATTAATGAATCAATTCAATGAATATTTATTAAGTATCTAAGAAGCCCTAAAGAAGTCCTACCTCCTTTCTGAGTCTGTTTCCTCAACTGAATGAGAAGACCGAACAAGATAAATTTAAAGGGCAATTGGAGTACCAGTGTATTCTCCAGTGCACCACACAAGACACAGAGCTAGGAGATAGAGAATTGGTTTCACTTCCAAATACTGGTGATGATTTCTAAATTAATCCCATCATGGTCTGAGAACTTATTTTGTACATCTTGTATTATTTTACATTTATTGAGATTTGGTTAAAGGCCCAGAATATAGTCTATCCTAATCTATATTCTGCAGATTCTAGAAAAGAACGTGCATTCTGCTGTTGGGTGGAATATTGTAAAAATGTCAGTTTAATCCTATTGGTTGATGGCATCATTGAATTTTCCGATAGTCTTGCTGATTTCCTGTCTAGTTGTTCTATCAACTATGAATAGAGGGGTTTTGATGTACCCAGCTATATTTCTGGCTTTCTCTATTTTCTCCTTTCAGGTCTATAAGTTTTGTTTGCAATATTTTACACCTTCTTGGTTTGGTGCATATACATTTAGTATTATTATGACTTCTTGGTAGATTGACTTTTTTCATTATATAATGTTCCATGTCTCTAGTAAAATTTTCTCTGTCCTAAAATCTACTTTTCCTGATACTTATATTGCCATTCTAGCTTTATTTTGATTATGTTTTCCTGATGCACCTTTTCCATTCTTTTACTTTCAAATTCCCAAATCCTTATAAAGAGAGCTTCTTATAGACAGCATATAATTGGATCACATTAAAAAAATCCGTTCTGGGGCTGGGGTTGTGGCTCAGCAGTAGAGCACTTACCTAGCATGTACGGGGTCCTGGGTTTGATCCTCAGCACCACATAACGATAAATAAATAAAATAAAGCCCCCCCCCCCCAAATCTGTTCTATTAAGCTCCACCTTTTAAATTGGATATTTATACAATTTACATTTTTAACAGAGCTACTTATATAATTTACAGGGTAATTATTAATACATTAGGGTTTAAGTCTGCCATTTTATTTTTTCTTCATTGCTTTCTGCTCTTTTTGTTTCTATTTTCCTATTTGTGTACTTCTGTAGGTTACTCAAACATTAAAAATTTTATTAGAGATTTATAGTTACACATAATAGTTGAATTCGCCCTGACAAAATCATACACACATGGAATCAGTTCATGATTCCCCCTTCTTCCCTCCCTGCTTCTCTTTCCTCTACTCTGCTAAACTTTCTTTTGATCATCTGTTTATTTACATTTCATTTGTTCTTTTTACTTATGCAAGAAAGTTGAAATTCCCTGTGGTATATTTATATATGCACATAATGTGATTTTTAAATAATTAATTCCATATTGCCTCCCTTTCTCATCCTTCTATTCTGCCTCTTGATCTCCTTATTCTACATTATTGATCTTCTCTATATCTTTATGATATCCTACCCTTCCCTCCTCCTTTCTTTTATTTTACTTTAGCTTTCACATATGAGAGATAATATTTGACCTTTGAGTTTCTGAGTCTGGCTTATTTCATTAAGCATGATAGTCTCCATTTCTATCTATTTACCAGCAAATGCCATAATTTAATTCTTCTTTATGGCTGTGTGTATGTATACCACCATTTCTTTCTTTTTTAAAAAATATTTATTTTTTAGTTGTAGGTGGACACAATACCTTTATTTTATTTTTATGTGGTGTTGAGGATTGAACCCAGTGACTCATGCATGCTAGGTGGGCGTTCTTCCTCTGAGCCACAACCCTAGCCCCTAAAGACCATTTCTTAATCCATTAATCTATTAATGGGCATCTGCATTGGTTACATAATTTAGCTATTGTGAGTTGCACTGATATAAACATTGAGGTGGCTGTATTGCTATAGAATGCTTATTTTAATTCTTTTAGGAAAATACTGAGGAGTGGGATAGCTTGGTCATATGGAGGTTTCATTCCTAGTCTTCTGAGGAATCTCCATATTGCTTCCCAGAGTAGTTGTTTTAGTCTGCTGTCCCATCAACAATGTATGAGTGTATCTTTTTCTTCATACCTTCACCAACACTTATTATTATTTGTATTCTTCATCATTGTCATTCTGCTGGGAGTAAGATAAAATCTTACTGTACTTTTGATTTGCATTTTCCAGATGGCTAGAGATGCTGAACACTTTTTTCACATATTTGTTGACCTTTTGTGTTTCTTCTTTTGAGAAGTATTCGTCTAGGTCTTTTGCCCATTTATTGATGGAGTTATTTGTTTTTTGGTGTTAAGCTTTTTGAGTTGTTTATATATTCTGGATGTTACTCCCCTATTGAGGGAGTAGTTGGCAAAGATTTTTCTTCTATCTTGCAGGCTCCTCCTTCTACTCTAACTTATTTTTTTTTTTATTTTTAAAAATACTATTTTATTTAAACTCATGTATGAAAAAAGACTATACTATCATGTTTATATACATACTGATATTGGAAACAGAATTCAATAACAAATCACATTTGAATCTTATAAGATACACAAACATTAAAACACTGATTGGTTATAGAAAGCAAAGTAGGAAAAAAACACCATAAGCTATAATTTTTCTTTTCATTAAAGAGCAGCACCCTCTGAGAAGAATGAAATTAGTAATCTTCATCTATACTACAAAATAATATATCCAAATGAACGTTAGTGATTGTACTGATTTTATTACTTTTACTAAGCTACTTTGTCTTCCTCACATCAATGTAAAGAAATAAAACAATATAAAGAAAAATATGTCATTATTATTCACAATAAAAAGGGTCTGCTGCATTCCTGCAGGCCTGGGAGTATTGTACAATAGAGAGCACATAATGGCTCAAGTGGATCAATGTACCATTTTGATTCTGATCCACTGAATAGAATCTCATTTATATCTAGTGACTGGACAAACTCCATGGGAGCTGTGATAGACTGAACCATTTCTGTGGTATCCCCAGATCTCACTAAACAAGAAAAGACCTTATGCAAGTAAATATAACAATTGATCTGTCTATACATTATAGGCTCTTTCTTTAGTATAAGGTTGGGGAAAAGGGGCCTTTTCGAGTACATAGATAAAAGTATTATTGTGTTCTAAAGATTGCTGGATTGATATTGTTACAATAAAGACCATATACACATCAGAAAACATTTTTCCATTAAGAAACTTCCACAACTTTTATCAATTCTTCAAATAATGGAGCAAGTTCCTTTTCTAGGCTGACAATTAGTCCTGTATTGGCATTGCTGCTGGCTATGAAACTCACCACCAAAGGCAAACGATTGAACTGAACCACCTGGTAAGAGTTATAGTAACATATAATGCTTTTATTTTTTGAAAGCCCAAGTTTACTACCTTGGTCAGTAGCAAGGGCAAAAGTAGATAAGAAACCAGGTCTCAAAGCATGTTCTGGAGCATTATCATTGGCCACTTTAACTACAGGTACTCCATCTCTATCTGACACAACAATAGCATGGAGTCCTTCAACACTTGGTAACTTCTTATACAGGAAACGCTTCAGGTCATCCGCCATGACGAACCCCTTTCTCCCGCAGGATCAATCTCCACGCCTGGGTTTCTTGACTGCTGGATTAGCTCAAAAGCTGTACAGAAAAGGCTCCAAAAACAGGTTCCTCGCCTACTCTAACTTATTTTGCTGCAAAACTTTTTAATTTGATGACATCCTACATATTGATTCTTGGTGTTATTTCTTGATTTTAGGAATATTGTTGAGTAAGTTGGTGCCTGAACCTATATGATGGAGTGTTGACCTATGTTTTCTTCTAACAGTTGTAAGCCTTCCTATTTAATTCCTAATTATTTGTTCCGTTTTGATTTGACTTTTGTGCCGGTTGAGAGACAGGGATCTAGTTTCATTTTTCTATACACAGCTATCCAGTTTTCCCAGCATTATTTGTTAAAAAGTGTGTCTTTTCTCCAAAATATATTTTTGGCACATTTGTCAAGTAACAGATGGCTATAAGTATGTGGATTTGTCTGTCTTCTACTCTGTTCCATTGGTCTTCATGTCTATTTTGATGTCAATACCATGCTGGTTTTGTTACTATAGCTCTGTAGTATAATTTCAGATCAGATATTGTGAGGCCTACTGCATCATTTTTCTTGCTTAGTATTGCTTTCGCTATTCTGGGTTTCTTATTCTTCCAAATGAATTTAAGAATTGTTTTTTCTAACTCTGTAAAGAATGTCATTGGTATTTTGATAAAAATTGCACTGAATCTGTATATTGGTTTTGGTAATATAGTTATTTTGACAATATTAATTCTGCCTATTAGAGTACATGGGAGGTATTTCCATCTTCTAAGCTCATCTTCCATTTCTTTCTTTAATGCTCTATAATTTTCATTGCAGAGCTCTTTTACATTCTTGATTAGATTAATTCCCAAGTATTTTATTTTATTTATTTAGGATATTGTGAATGTGATGCTTTCCCTCATTTTTTCCTCAGCTGAATCACTGCTGGAATTTAGGAAAGCTATTGATTTATGAGTGTTGATCTTGTATCTGCTGACCTCATTTATATGCTCTAGAAGTCTCCTGGTGGAGTATTTTAGATCTTCTAGATGTAAGATCATGTTGTTGGCAACCAGGGATAAGGCTTTTTCATTTCCTATTCGTATTCCTTTGATTTCCTTCTCTTGCCTGATTGTTCTAACATTTTTAGATCTCTATTGAATAGGAGTAGAGAGAGTGGACAGCCTTGTCTTGTTCCTGATTTTAGAGGAAATGCTTTTAGTTTTTCTCCATTCAGTATGATGTTGGCTTTGGGTTTGTCATAAATACTCTTTATGATGTTGAGGAAAGTTACTTCCATTTCTAGCTTCTCCAGTATTTTTAAAATGAGTAGGTGTTGGATTTTATCATCTGACTCTTCTGCATCTGTTGAGATAATCATGTGATTCTTGTCCTTAATTTTGTTAAGTGGTGAATTATATTGATTTGTATATGTTGAACCAAACTTGCAGCCCTGGAATGAAACCCACTGGCTCATGGTGTGTTATATTCTTGATGTGCTTTTGAATGCAGTTTGCTTTTAATTAAGAATTTGTGCATCTATGTTAACCAGGACTATTGGCCTCTGGCAGTCTTTCCTTGATGAGCCTGTCTGGTTTGGGTATCAGAGTTTTTCTGACTTCATATAATGTATTTGGGAGTGTTCACTCCCTTCCAATTTCATGGAATAATTTGAGAAAGATTGGTGTTTGTTCTTCTTTAAAGGTTGTTAGGATTCTGCTGATAATCCATCTGGTCCTTGGTTTCTCTTTTTCTGGAAGGTTTTTAATTGCTTTTTATATTTCACTACTTGAAATTGATCTGTTTAGGTTTTCTAAATCTTCCTGGTTAATCTGGGCAGGTCACATACATTTAGAAATCTGTCAATGTCTTCTAGATTTTCTAGTTTATTGGATTGTAAATTTTCAAAAAAGGTTCTGATGATCTTCTGGATTTCAGAAGAGTATGTGGTAATATCACCATTTTCATCTCAAATTTGATTGATTTGTTTTTTTCTCTCTCCCTCTTTTGGTCAATTTGGCTAAGGGCTTAGCAATCTTACTTACCTTTTTGAAGAAATAACTTAGTTGCATTGATCCTGTGTATTGCTTTTTTTAATTTTATTTTTTTAGTTTTCGGTGGACACAACATCTTTATTTTATTTTTATGTGGTGCTGAGGATCGAACCCAGCGCCCCACACATGCCAGGAGAGCGTGCTACCGCTTGAGCCACATCCCCAGCCCCCTGTGAATTGTTTTAATTCTCAATTTCATTAATTTTGATTCTGATCTTAATTATTTCCTGTCCTCTACTGATTTTGAAATTAGGTGGTTATTCTTTTTCTAAGGCCTTGAGGTGGAGCATAGCATATTTATTTGAGACTATTATTTTTTGGGGAGTGGGAGGGACCAGGGATTGAACTCAGGGGTACTCAATCACTGAGCCACATTCCCAGCCTTATTTTGTATTTTATTTAGAAACAGGGTCTCACTGAGTTGTTTAGCCCCTTGTTTTTGCTGAGGCTGGCACTGAACTTGTGATCCTCCTGCCTTAGCCTCCCAAGCCACTGGGATTACAGGCATGTGCCACTGTACCTGGCAAGACTTTTTTTTTTTTTTTTTAAATGTAGGCACTCAGCACTATAAATTTTCCATTTAGAACTTCTTTCATATTGTCCCAGAGATTTTGATAAATTGTATCTCTGTTCCCATTCATTTCTAAGAATTTCTTGATTCCTACTCTCATTTCTTCTTTGATCCATTCTTCAATCTCCATGTGCTTCTATGGTTTCTATTATTTTTCTTGCTGTTGATTTCTAGTTTCAATCCATTATGACCCGATTGGATGCATGGGATTATATTGGTGTTTTTTTTTTTTTTTTTTTTTGCTAAGATTTACTATGTGACCTAGAATTTGGAATTTTGGAATTTAGAATTTTGGAAAATATTTCATTAGCTGCTGAGAAGAAGGTAAATTCAGCTGTTTTGGGGTGAAATATTCTGCAAATATATGTTAGGTCCATTTGATTTATTTAAATTGGAAATATTTGTTTAGATTGGAAATATTGTTATTGATTTTGTTTTGATGACATGTCTATTGGTGATAAGGGTGTGTTGAAATCACCCTGTATTACTGTGTTGGGGTTGATCTGAGACTTATTGTCATAAAGTATTTTTTAAATGTAATTGTATACATTGACATTTGGGGCACAAATATTCACTATCATTATATCTTCTTGTTGAATTGTTCCCTTGTTTGTCTCTTTAGATCAGTTTTGCTTGAAATCTTCTTTATCAGATATGAGAATAGCTATCCTGCTTGCTTTTAGAGTCTGTTTGCATGAAATATTTTTTTCCTTCCTTTTACCTTCAGCCTCTGGGTGTCTTTGCCTATGAGTCTCTTGTAAAGCGCATGTAGTTGGATCTTGTTTTGATGCATTCTCCTAATCTATGTCTTTTGATTGGGGAGTTGAAACCTTTAACATTCAGTGTTAGCATGAATATGTGTTCATGGTTTCCAGCCATTTTGATTTTTTGTTGGGTAGATGTCTAATTTACCCAAAACCATTTATTGAAGAAAATTTACTTCCCATGAAATGGTTTTGATAACCTTGTTGAAAATAATTTTTTTTAATGTATATGCTTATTTCTGGGCTTTCTGTTGTATTCTATAGATTGATGTATCAGGGCATTGTTTTGATTACTGTAGCTTTGTAGCAAATTTTGAAATCAAGAATTGTGAGTCTTCCAATTTTGTCCCTTTTCAAGTCTGCTTTTGGCTATTTGGGAGTCCACTGAATAGTCACTGCTACCCTGGAACCTCACATGTGACTCTTCTCTCACTTAATCAATCACAGCTGGATTGTCCCAACTCTTTTTTAAAAAATATATATGTATGTATGTATGTGTGTGTGTGTGTGTGTGTGTGTGTGTATATATATATATATATATATATATATATATATATATATATATATATTTTTTTTTTTTTTTGTAGTTGGACAAAATGCCTTTATTTATTTATTTTTATGTGGTGTTGAGGATTGAACTCAGCACCTTGCTTGTGCTAGGCGAGTGTGCTATTGCTGAGCCACAACCCCAGCCCCTGCCCAACTCTTTAGAATGTAAGCTCCATGCTACTGGTGACCATCTTACCACCTCAAAGAGAATGCTGCCTGAGGATACGCCAAAACAGATGACAGCTAAATAGAGAAGGAGATGGAGACAGCTGAAGACCAGATGATGTACCTGGATCTAACCATGCCTTGAGCTTATGTAACCCTGGACATTTCCTTTACATGGGCCTAGACTCCCCCTTTCTTTTTCCCTTAAGAAAGTTCAAATTCAATTTTTGTCATCTGCAGCCAGAAGTGTTTCAACTAATCCATGCCATAAATTGTATATTATTCTTTACAAAATGTGATACCAAATTAAGAAATGGGAAGCATCAATTTAAAAACACAACAAATAGAAGGAAGATCAGTGGAGTAGAGGAAGGGGAACAGGGGGCGGGGATGGAAAGAGGAAGTAATGGGGATTGAAAAGGAGCAAATTATTTTCCATGCATGTGATGATGTCAAAATGAAATAAACCCCACTATTATGGATAACTATAATGCAGTAATAAAAGATTAAAGAGAAGAAAAATAAATGGAAAATTGAAATACATGCCTTATTGTTATCGTTAATGGCTAGAAATAGTCATTGTTAGTGGCTAGAAATAAGGGTGCAGGCTGGAGTGAAAGACCAGTGTGGTTGTGCTTTAAACTCTCCACAGTTATTGGGAATAGCTGATAACTGTGCATCAATGAAAGGAGCAACTAATGAGACTTGTAATCTGCATTCTTCTATGGACCCAGAAAAAAAAACTAAACAGATCTTCAAAACGAGATGTGAAGAGCCAGGTATGGTAGCACACGCCTGTAATCCCATTGATGAGGAAGGCTATCATCTGAGGCTAGCCTCAGCAATTAGCAAGACCCTGTCTCAAAATAAAAAGGGCTGGGGATGTAACTTGGTGGTTAAACACACCTGGGTTCAATTCCCATTACCTAAACAAGAAAAATGAAAGAAAATTTCAAAATGACAAGAGAAAAAAAGTGTAGTGTATGAAATTTG